CACAAGGCAAATATAGATGATTGACTGACTGATACTACAAATGTGCTGAAATTAACACAATGGAAAAGCAATTTAAGCAGCCACGATTAAAAAATATATATATGACGATATATATATATATATGTTGTTTTTTTTTCAGTGTTTTTAGAGATATATTTTTGTTAATCTCAATGGGTGGCAATTCCTCAAACGTATGAGCGGCGGGAGCATTCTGCACTCGCCGGTGTTTTCAGTTGTATTTTTTTTTTTTTTTTTAATTCTTTAGTTATAAAGTAATTGAAATCTTTTTGATTGGTTGGTTACAGTGTTTGAAAGGAGAATATTCGAGTGCAATTTTATTTTATTTATTTTATTGATTTTAGTCAGTATATTAAAAGGGTTAATTTCACGCAAGGCTCTGCATTTTGTATCTTGTTTGCGCAAATGCCCTTTTTAGAATACACCTGTTCTGGTGGCGTACACGTGTCGCCAGGAGTATAGATCCTGCACAAGGCCGTGTTCACGTCCAGGTGCATTCTGAACATACGCATTTGCGGAAATAAGGCGTATAGTGTACAAAGCGCAAATTACAGAGGCATTTGGTAAAGATCCAATGGAGCAAGGTCCCACTGGCAGTGAGGATTGGATTAAGCGCCTGAATCTGGATGTGTTTTATGCAGAGATGCAGAAAAGCAGATCAATAGCGATTTTATGCGCCTCTCCGCAAACACGTCCTCATTCAGGCGTCAAATCCAATCCTCTTTGCTGGCGGGACCTCGCCCCTGTACTATATACCCACTATCGATTTTTTTTAATTTTATTATTATTATTATTATTATTATTATTATTATTAACACACTACTACGATTATTATTATTATTAATTTTTTTTTTTTTTTGTGTGTGAGTGTTTGAAATTCCAATAACTGTTGTTATTTCTTTTCCCTCTCGACAGAGTGATTAATTTGCTGATGGGTTCGTGCGTTCTGCCGCAGGGAAACGTCGGGATCGGGACTTCTGAGCTGGTCAGGGGTTTGTCGTTGCCACGAACAGAGAACAAAATCTCGTACGCCTGCCTGCAAACAACGACGGCGCGCCACCTCTCTCTCTCTCTCTCTCTCTCTCTCTCTCTCTCTCTCTCTCTCTCTCTCTCTCCCCTTGTCGGACTCTCCATTGTCGATATTTCGAACATGGCATCCCAACAGAGTAATGATGATGGCATTAGTGCACTGATGCTTGTCAGCCCGTCTGCTGCTTGAAGATAAAGGCGGCGGACCTTAACAGACAATAACTCCCTCTTCTTATCTCTTTCTTTTTCTTGTTGCTCTTCTTCTTCTTCTTCTTCTTCTTCTACTTCTTCGTCATTGATTGCCACGTTGCGCTCCTCTCCACTGTCCTCCGTCGTCCTCACGCTCAGCACTTTTCTTCTTCTTCACATCGCGGAACAGCATTGATTGCCACGTTGCGCGCCACTCCATTTTTCTTCTTCCTCTTCTTCATCTTCTGCAGCTGCTTCTTCTTCTTCTTCTTCATTGGCCTCTGTTCTTTCACTCTTCTCCTTCTTCTTCTACTTCTTTTCTTTTTCTGTGTGT